CTGTAAAACGGATGTGCGCGCAACTCTCAGTTTCTATAGCAAGATTAAAGTCCGAAGGTAGAGGAACAACCAGAACTTTCCACCGGAGTTTACAGCTGGTTAGTTAGTTAGTTATTCCTCTTGTGCCAAAGATGGCGCATAGGGCAGAGGTCATAGCTTTCCACGTCTGTCGGTTCTTTGCCACTTGATGTAGGTCTTGAGTGCGACTGAGACCTATGGTTGAGCTCTCCCTTGTGATGGTTCTACGGAGAGTTTCTTTTGGTCTTCCCTGTTTTCTTTTACCCTCTGGTGACCATAAGAAGGCTTGGTGGGGAAGTCTCTGTATGTCCATTCTGAGTACGTGACCGATGTAATTCCAGCGACGCTTTCTAATAAAATCAGACACATATTTTTGTTTTGTTTCCTGTCTTATAGATGTATTGGACCTAAAGTCCGACCAGTGAACATTCAATAGCTTTCGGAGGCATCTATTCTCGAAAGCGACTAGTTTCTTATCGATTGATACTGATGATTTCCAACTCTCACAACCATAAGTTAGCACTGGGATCACACAGGAATTGAAGACCTTAAGTTTCGTGTTGTTGCTGGGTGATCTTGACTTCCAAATGTTTGACAGTTTGTTAAAGGCACTTGATGCTAACGCACACTGGTGAACACGAAGAAAAAAAAATATTGTTTTGTGAAACCGGGCTCACCTTGTCTTCAAAAAATGACGGGAAAATGATACACTTTTACAACTGCTTTATTTGAGATTAACTCTTCAACTCCCAGTCTGTGCTCTAAGTAACGCTGCATTCCACCTGGAAGCAACGAATGTGATGATGGGAGGGGTTTACAATAACAACGTGGGACAGAAAGAACTAAGCTAACCTTTCAGATAGAATGAGTTAATGTGACAGCTGTTAGTGACAGACACATGTCAGAGAGATGAGTTATCTTTGGGTGAATAAATGAAAGTATCATGAGGCTTTGTTACACACATAGTTAATTTGTTAGTCTCTATATGTCTTTACCAGGTGAAGCGGCTAGACACAAGCCTACGAATCCGATAGTTATGGGTTTAGATCCTGGTGGAGCTAGACTTTTTTAATGACCATGGCTACCAGTCTTAAACGGGTACCAGGTGAAGTCTTAGGAAATAAATGCGACCGGCGTGATGTTGACCACATCACCCACCGAGTGCCCATCGGTATATAAAATATATGTTTAGTCTTATTTGCCTTGTGACACCATACCATACAAAGCATACATGGAAAGAGAAGAAGGACGTAGAGCACGAGGTAGACCAAGAACAAGATGGAAAGATAACATCAGAGAAACTCTACAACAGCACGATGTGCCTATGGTCGAGGCGGCCAGAAGAGCTAGAGACAGAACCTTATATCTCCCTCGACACCCACAGCGGTAAAAGAGGAAGTTAAGAAGAAGAAGAAGTCTTATATGCCCAATACGCATGAAGGTGTTGGGAAAGGCCCTTTTGCCGTATAAATAAAAGGTAACTTTGATAATGATCATAAGATAACATTAACAGAAATACTAATGTTAGTTTTAGACAAACATGTCAAGTTAAGAATCCACCTATCTACATCAGTAAATGTCAGTTAATCGGCAGATCATCCACACTGCACATCGAACAATGAAGTCCCCAGAGCTTGGAATCCCTTCTAAGTACGAGTATATTACTTAGTGGGTAGCGATGATGATATCAGTTGTCTTGATATTCCAGAAAACACATCGATAATGAGGCAACCAAAGCCAGAAGGAAGATAGCTATCTTAAGAAAACTTAGTGGAATAACAATTGGGAGCTAATGGGAAAATACTTAGGAAAGTTTATCAACAAAGTCTACGACCACACCTTGAAAACGGATCAGCTGCATGGAGTTCAGCATCAAAAAACACACTGCAAAGGGTAGACTAGGTGCAAAATCAAGTACTCAGTCATAACAGGCGGGATGAAATCAACACCTATAGTTGTGATGGAGAAGATGGCGATGACTCAAACACTGACAGAACGAAGAGAGACTAAGATACTAATACAAGCAGAACAGTTTCTTAGCATACCTAAACACCCTATGGAAGAAAGATTTCAAAATCTAGCAATGGGGCTACTAAACAGAAGCAGTTTCATCCACTAGATCTAGCGACTCTGCAGGCAAACCGATGATCTGCCTGCAACTTATAGACCCTTAAATGCTATTCCAGATCAGACCCCTTGGAAAAAGGATTATAAGTTGTCATTACACGTCCAGACATAAGTGAAAGAAGTAAGTATTCCACAAGTAAAAAAAAAAAAAAAATAGTGTGCAACGTAAAACAGCCTCTACTTGATGATGAATACCAACAAAATCTTTGAGTTCATGCCCATAGGGACGTGTCAACACAAAACGCAAGCAGAATCAGAGGAGCAGGAGTGTATATCGAGCATCCAAATAATACCAGATATACAGCCAAAATACCTATAGAAAAGCACTGTCACAACTATGATGCAGAAGTTGAAGTCATCAAAATAGCAGCAGAGAAACGTCATATTACGTCATATTTCATTACCCGTGGGTTTCCTAACAGATGTGGGAGCAGTACTTCAGGCACTTCAATCTGGAAATTTACCTGGCATACTAGACAACCGGTGTAAGGTAACTATGCAATGGATACCATCGCACTGTGTTCCAGGAAATTAAAGAGCTGATAAACTAGCTAAGGAAGGTACAAATGAAGAACAGCTTGTCGCACCAGTCTCTTCTCAACAGAAGAAGAGAATAACAAATCAATCAGTAAGCCACCAAAACCGACACAAGACGATTACCATGGTATGGACAAACCAGGGCAAGTTATTCTACGCCTTAGAACAGGACACAGTCGACTTCGCAGTCACATGTACACACAATTTAAAATCTGCGAATCAGGCATGTGCACATGTGAATTGGCACGTGAGACAACAGGATCACGTCCTCGAAGACTTTCCAGAATACAACATATTAGGGCAAAACTTTTGGCCAAGAGAAACACCGGTGCAAGTCAGACTTTATGGTTGCAGAGTGAATTACAAAAGACAGTGAACTTCACACTAGAGACAACATTGCAGATTTAGATTATCTATTTCAAGTAAACGAAAGAAGAAGAAGACATCACATAGACCGTGGAGACAGCAAATGTTATACTGGATTAATCAAACATTTGAGAAGCGATAGCATACTAAATATGGGACCTATCACAATCTATATATATAAAAATCAATGTTTGTGTGTTTGTTTGGTCTCTATAGACTCGGAAACTACTGAACCGATTTAGCTGAAATTTCCAGGATATGTTTGTTGTGATACCGGATTTTGAACCGTCGTGGTTTGAAATTCAACCTGTCACTGTTAGAGATAGATGACCACAATTAATGCCAAAATATACGCAACTAATATAACTTTAGTGATTTCTAATTATAGCCACGTTAGTAATTGCGCATGCGCCGTATTTACCATTCGTTACGTGCAGCCAACGCCTTCTCTAATACTAATATATAGAGTAGGTCGTGGTACAGCAAACAAGACTATCTCTATATTTGCCACAATAACCATATTAAACACGATTTCTATTTTCTGTTTTTTTTTTTCAAACAACCTTCGATGGGGGGGGGGGGGGATCAAGGATTATCTCGACGTCGGCGCAGACATTGACTGCGTCATTAACTTCATTAGACAGGTGCGATTTCCATTGTCTTTCTTTTCTAAAAACCTTTGATGAGGGAGAGGGTACTAGGTGGATTTAGTTGTGGGGGGGGGGTCAAAGACTATCTCAAATTACGCCACAGCAACGCGTGGCCGGGTACAGCTAGTATATCATAAAAATGTTTGTCACATATAATTAGGTGTTAGTACAAATCTGCCATATATGCTTACTATGTACATGTGTGTCTTCGTAATACGGGGTGGCGGGTTCGATCCCAGCTCCGGACGATTTTTTTTTCCTTTGGTTTCGACAGGGGTAACGAGAGCTGACCGGTCAGAGGCAGTGGCAAACTACTGGACGTAAAATGTGCCTAGAAAAACCACAGTTGCCAAAGAACGCTGCTGTTGGTTCTGCAACGTCCTGTTAAGGATACGCAACTATTTTTTTATTTATTATTTTATGTCCAAGAAGGTAATCTCACTAACTGTTGAAGGAAAATTAAGGTTACGAACTTAGTTTTATCCTCTTGACATACCAGGGTTCCATATTAGATGCTGATAATTTGGTAGTAGATCGCTTTGCGATGACTTTGACAGCGATGTAAATTTACCTGAATTACTTTGTTCGTGAAAGCTGTAATTAAGTTGCATTACTATCCTATTTTCTGCAGGTATATATCTGACAGTGATTATGGCCATGTCGGCGATGTCCGTTGCTTTGTCTGTTTTCGTATTAAACTGCCATCATAGAGGCACACGTCTGAACAGACCTCCAAGAATTGTCAGAGTATTTGCAAAATTAGCCGCAAAATGTTTTTGCGTACGTCTTACCTACCTCAACGCGAGAAAAGCTACTAACAACTACAGCAGCCAGACAACGAAGAAACCCACCAGCAAACATAATACCACAGAAAATGTGTTCAGATCTCAGGCATCGGTGAATCAGTGGCAAAACATGTCTTCTGATTCGTCCAGAGACAGTCATTTGGCGTCAGCATCTTCGGCTTCCCTGCAGCAAAATCCTAGTCAAAGTGTACCTACTGTTGACAATGCAGCACGTAACGGTGCAGCCGGGTCTAATCATGCGACAGATAACGCCTCTTACAAACGAGGAAGCACGCGAAGCATGGTGGAGCTACAGATGTTGCAGTATTTACAGGCTGTGTTGGAGGCTTATACTAAAGAACGCGAGGATCGTGTGTTTGTACTTGAGTGGCAGGAAGTTGCCAGGGTGTTGGACAAATTCTTCTTTTGGATTTTCGTTGCTGTAACCACCATCATTACGATATTTTTATTGATGTTGAGCCCTATTGCCAAGAAAATTGACTTTCCTACCGAGTGACTTTTCTATTCACCTGAAATAAAATGTATGTTACTAACTTGGTCTAGTTCGTATTACTGTAATACCTTACATCTTTTCATCACTGTCATCACAATCATCATCTTTTTACAGGTCATTGCAGACTTCGCCCACATCCCGTCGTGGGGTAGAAACACTCGGTCCTTCTCGATTCCGTGTACCTCACTCGTTTCCATCATTATAATGTCTTTAATAAAGGTAAAATCGGCAGATGTAAACTAGCTTCACTGCAAACAGTTATAAACCGTAGGTGCTCTGCCACCAGTACGGACAGCTGATAAGAAACTGTCCGCCTGTGTCCGTAGGTACAGCTACGTTTCCCTATTTACTCCAGAGTGTTAACTCTGGTACCCATCTTAAAGGCTGGGTGAACCCCGGGACCGCCCGCTTTCAAACACCGGCCGTGGGGTGCAGCGAGTGGCAGCTGGATTGAAAGCGAGTCTCCAATCGACGGCGCTTACGCAGCTCACAAAATGTTCTGTGTTAACCTTTGAAATCATTCAGTAACTACATAAGTAGACTATTGTAGTATGGCATGCTCCATTTTCGACGCCCGTCAAGATCAAATTCGGAAGCTTTGCAATATCAACCTGAATCATAGATAAATAAATATACAGAGTATGCACCGTGTGTTGATTCAACTAATGGTCTTTTTTAGCGCATTCACCTTAGGTGGTTCAACCGTTTGAATCTCTATCGAGGTTGTGCTTCCCGTTTCGGACTTCCTTCCTTCGATTCGCAAGTGCAGGTGTTTCCAAGATTCCCGAGGTCTTCGATGGAGCTACAGAGTGTTGTGCTGCCTTCGACATTCGAGACGAGATACCAGCCCCTTTTCGGGAAGAGACCAACCAGTATAGGATAGTCTAGTGCAATGAAGGGGCCCCACTAGCCTTTAAACACCATTTAAACATTAATGGTTCTGTGACTTCGTTGTGGTTAGTGAAATGGTTTCATAATGCAGATCTCTATGTTTGCCAAGGTTCGATTCAAGAGGTGGTAGGTTGAGAAAGAACGTTCTCGTGGTTTTCGGAAGTCGTACTAGAGCAGCTCTGTGGAAAAGATTGGGGCCTGACGTAATATCCCGACAGTTAGCAGGGAATACATTGCAGCCTACCTCCATTATGGAGACAGCAACATTTTTATTTATTTTTTTAAATAAATCTCAAAACAACGTAATACACGTTCTCCCTTCATACTGATGGTTTTTCTGGCCCTAGTTTGCAAAGTCCAGAATCTATTTACAGAGTTCTCACTCCGGCCTGCTCAGTCTTCTTTTTCTTCTTCGAGCTCACCAGATGTAGACTCCGGCGGAAAGTTCTGGTTGTTCGTCAACTTCTGAACTTTTTTCTTGTCCAGAACTTGAGTTTTGTGTGCACATCCGTTTCACAGATCTGGTTTATTTATATGCAGACTGTTGTTCCCTTGCCTCTCAGGCCGATGCACTCTGACTTCATGGAAACATCTCTAATTAGTCATCGTTTACCACATGCTTGTTAGAGGCAGTGGATCAATTCCTTTTCACTCGAATTGGGCGCCCGAAACCCACACAGTGTACCTGGCCAGTAAAACCCCATGAGCTTCTCACGAGTCCAACAGCCGATGCATCAGTGTAGATGACTGAACCATCCTCTGAAGACGTCTCAATTTCATCAATATCCCGTTGCGAGCCCTCTACATAACCTCGCTCCCATTTCACCTCGCCTGAAAGGAACTCGGTAGCAAATTAAGTCAAGCCTGAGATATGGTTCACATGTTCATAACTTTGAGCATAAAACAATAAATAGCAAACTTTCCAACTAAATGAAGTTCAAGTAATCCAGTCCTGTTTTACTGGGGGGGGGGGGGGGGGGGGGGTGGTGGATATTTGAATTGCTCTTTCTTCTGTAGATCTTGATGTCTTTAACAGAATTAGAAAAGTCATTTCATTAGTCTGTCAACACAATATATTCAATATTTATTTTCACGATTGTATTAATGTATTTAATTTATGTTGTAGGATCACTTCTGCAGTTTGTGGTGCTAATTCGCAGTTATCGAATATGTTAGTTTTGTGCACTTCGAACAGATAATACCCACTTGTAGTCGTGAAAGCCCTTTTTTCCGCTCCTTCAGGCGTATTTGGCATACAGGGCTAGGAGTATATTTTATGGACCAGTCCGCACTCGGTGGATGTTGTCTTCCAGGGCTGTACCTGGTACCCATTTAAGGCTGGGTTTTTTTTTTTTTCTTTTTTTTTTTACTAATTTGGGCTCCGTTGGGACCCTTTCCCTCCAATCAACATTTCAAAATTTGTAATTTTTTTTTAAAAGCGATAATTGGCAGTTTTGGGCAGTTTCTATGGGCCTGGCATCGAAAAGTGGCTCCTAAAGTCGATGAGTGAAAAACCTCAGGTTGCAACCCAGAAAAGAACAGAGAGTAATGGCTTAGCTAAACAAAATAACAAAATACCTAAATGACTTGGAGGGGGTGGGGTGGGGGGGGGGGGCAATCATAAAGTCAGAAATAGGATAAAACTGACATAGGTAGTGAGATACAACTATCTGGGATAAGTTAATAAAATTATAACAACCTATTGCGAAGGTTATACGGAAATAAATTTTTTAAACATCCAAGAAAAGGTCATGTTACAAAACAAGGAATACTTTTTGTAACATAACCCTTCAATCTTGTTCATAATTTTTCCTACTGCTTATGCGATAAAGCGTCATAGAGAGTAGTTATCTATAGTTACCGTTCTTTCGCTAGTTGCTTATCTTGTGTTGTCATATTGCGCTTCAGTTGTGTCTCTTTCACTTCTTCCACCCATCTCATTCTTTGTCGGCTTCTTGCCTTGAAGCCTGCTGTTTTAATGTAGTACTCTCTAGCTGCTGGCTGATTTTGTTCCCTATGACTAAACCATTTGATTCTTTGATGTTCGAAGAAGTCATTCAATGGTCTGCTATCTTTCTTAGCTCCTCACTGTCTCTTTTTTTTATTCCATCGCATTTTTTCATACATCCCATATCACATACTGTAATTTTGCATTTATGTTTTCCAAGTACTGTCCATGCCTGGCACTGACAGCACAAAGTTGATACGAATACCACATTTATCAGTTGCTTCAACGAAAGCCTGAAAATAGGTTTAGGGATTTTACAGTGAAACGTGGCCAATGAATTAAAAGATTAGAAAGCAAATAAATGCCACAGAGGTGTGGGTTTGGCGTAAAATGCTAAAACTGGTATGTTATGTTATGTTATGCCGTCTCATTCGTCACCAATTCACTTTGTGCATTTCCAAGCTTGCTCAGTCCTCCGATACAGCAGCCATCCCAAGGTACCTGTACCAACTGTTCCCATGGGACACTGATTATAAAGTACCCTATCTTGACCTCGAATACGCATTGACGTGCTTGGCCATGTTTCACATCTATGTCAAGTAATATGGTTAACGTGAGAGACTCTAATCAATCAGTCTAGTGCGTGTGACATAATCTATATCAAGTCTGCCTATTCTTCTTCCCGCTTGTATTAGATGGGATGAAGAGATGATCCGATTGTGCGTGGTCAGGGCAGTCGTCAATTATCAGCAGAATAAGATCCTTTATTCTTCTTCATTTCTTGCTTGATGCGTTACCCAGTCCTCAAATAGAGCGCCATTGGTAGGATTTTCGGGATTCAGGTTCTTGAACGCCCGTAGCTTTGCATATTTACCAGTCACTTAGGACCCTTTTTTACGCATTTGACAGTATTGGATATTTAGGATTAGACCTATAATTTTTAGACCAGTCGGCACTTATTATGTGATGTGGTCAACATCATGCCGGCCGCCTTTCCTTCCAAGGACTGTCTACCTGGTACCCATGTAATGCTGAATCTACCTGGAAGGCAGGGTAATTTTTTGAAGAAAAAAAAAGAGTTTGGCTCCTTTAGAACCTGAACCCACGACCTTCCAATCCGCAGGCAAGTATCTAGCCGTTACACTACGGTGGCTTCGACCAGTCAATAATGACTTTAATTTGTCTGTAGCACAACGCTTATCTGTGAAATGTTCTTTTAAGAGTTTTCAGCTATTAACATTTGCCAGCCTTCACGGCGAGGCTCCTGTAAGGAATCACTTTGAAAACAGTCCGCATTCATCAGAATTACAGATGTCGTTATCTGTAAAGCTCTGGTGAAGTAAGGGGACATTTTGATGAACTCTTTAACAACTCCTACTTGAGTGTTTGTTTTTTTTTTTTAGATTCATCACACGTGTCGCAGTTTAAATGTATCCAGCCAACCACTTGTCGGCTCTGTGGCTAAGTCGATGCGAACGCGTCTTAATGCCGGGATGCCAGGTTCCATCCCAGCTGCGGGTCATGCGCCTTGCGTTGGTTTCGACAGTGGTATCAAGAAAGCCGACCGTCCAGGAGCAATGGCAAACTACTGAACGTAAATTTGCCTAGAAAAACTACACAACAGCCAGGGGCTGTTGGGGTTGGTACTGGAACGTCCTGTAAAGGATACGTAACTAACCTTAGCCAACCACTTACGACACTGAAATCTTCTGCAGTCCCAAATTTATGGGTGAATCTGTTTGGCATCTTCTTCAATCATCTGTCCAGAGATTTGATAGTTAGCTACCCCTTATTTGCTGAACCAGCCCAGCGTAGCTTCGCTGAATTCATACAAGGAAATTTACTTTCCCGCTGTCGATCTCGTTTCTTTACTATATATCTCTAAGTGCATATGTTTACGGTTTTTGATGTTCTGTCTGTGGGCTTGCTTACCCCCAAAATGCTCTGCTGCCTATCTTTGGCTGTTACTTTTAAGAAAATATAGAAAATCAGCCTTTTCTATAATGTCAACATTTTACCGAGCCAACAGGTCTCGATTACATTGATGTCGTTGGAGAAAATGAACTAGATACGGTAAAATTAATGACTCTCTTAAAAGAAGCAGAACACAAAATGGGACTAGTTATCAATCAAATTAAGTCAGAACAATGATAATAACAAGTCA